CCTTGGAGAACAGCCGCCGCCCGGCCAGCCCTTTCAGCACCTTGGACAGCAGCCGCCGAGCGCCAAGGAGGGTGCCGGCGCCCCCGGCTGCCCCGTCTATCCGCTCGCCTCCGGGGGCCGCTGCCGGCGCTGCACGCTGTCGGATCCGCAGGCGCCCAGGGGGGGACATGGTCCCTTCCGTGGGCCCTTCCTGGCGGCCATGGAGAGGCAGAACGTGCGGACCCTCTCCCTCATCATCTGCACGTTTACTTACCTGCTGGTGGGGGCCGCCGTCTTCGACGCCTTGGAGTCCGACCACGAGATGCGCGAGGAGGAGCAGCTGAAAGCCGAGGAGACCCGGCTCAAGGGGAAGTACAACATCACCAGCGACGACTACCAGCAGCTGGAGGAGATCATCATGCAGTCGGAACCCCACCGGGCCGGGGTGCAATGGAAGTTTGCAGGGTCTTTCTACTTCGCCATCACCGTCATCACCACTATAGGTGAGTCTCCTTCTGCTGTGCGGCCAGGCCCCCCCAAAAGCTGGAAGTTGTGTGGGGAATAGCCCACTTGGGTCCCCCAAAGTTTGGGAATGATGGGGTGCCAAATTTGAAAGTGAGAATGGAAAACAGGCAAAAAAGTTAGAGACGGAAAGGAAAGGATGTCTACAATGTGCCCATGATTGGTTGGCTCTATAAGGAAGTGTGGGATTGGCTTGAAAATCTAGGTAACTGTGAGATTTTTATGGTTCTTCAATGAGAAAGTGCAAGACGTCGGTGCAGTGAGGAGCTGTAGGTTATCAAGAGAAGTGAGCGGCTTTGCATTTCTGTTGGGTAGACTGAATCTTTTGAGTCTTTCAGACTACACTTGTTGACATTTCAATTTCCACTCCCATTCTTGTTCCTCCTTCTAGGTTGTAGAACTGGTTAGAGCAGGGCACCTAGTATATCATGAAGGCAAAGAACTTTTACGAGGGTATTAGGTGTCATGGGTTGCTGACTGCATGACAATTGAGTTTCTCATGAGACTTCCCAGAGCAGGTGCAAATGAACTGTTCTTGCTTTTTGATCCTTCCTAGTACAAAATGATATCTGGAAGAGAAGATGGCAATGAATGAAGTTTTCAGAACAATTTTGGTGGCAACCCTGTGCGCAGATGCTAGGGAATAAGCCTTGCCTGATTTCAGTTGTACTTCTGAGGAAATATCATTAGGGTTGGACCGGAATACACTTTCACAGCTTTTTTTTCATTTAAAGGGGGGGGGGGAATCAATAAACTGGCACTGGTGTCTTCAAACCGCTTATTCTGAAGCCATCATAACAAAACTAAACTGGAATCTGCATGAATATGTATTTTGAAGACTAAAATTTGAGTTAGTATTTACAGATTGCCACGAGGTAAGATTCTTTGCTCTGAGGAAGGAGTGAATTGCCTCAGAAATTTCTTTTCTACAACTGTAATAGCAGCAGAACTGTGTTGGTGTCTTTCTCTTTCTGTCAGCTCACAATTTCTTTCCTTGTCTTTTGAAACGAGAGGAGACATTTCAAAATAATAAACACCAGAAAACTTATTCAGTGCTCAGCTATGAATCTGACAATTTTGTTGACAAGCCAAAGACATCTTGGCTATGGTATATTCTCCAAAGAAACATTTTTTTCGCATAAAATAAAAGCAAATCTTGAGTGATGGATTGATATAGCAGACAGCCTATGCTTCAGGTCCTGGGTAAGTAGGAATAACTAGGAAACTTGCATCTGGTCTGGAAATATATGATTCCTATATATGGGATTTTACCTGACCCTAGTACGGTGGTTCCCAACCTTGGATCTCCATGTATTCTTGGACTAAAACTCCCAGAAGCTTCCTTCACTAGCTGTGCTGGTCAGGATTTCTAGAAATTCTGGTCCAAGAACACCTGGAGAATCTAAGGCTGGGCATCTTAGATCGGCCAGTGATGTCTCCAGTGGATGCTTTGTCACTTGAGGTTGTGTATCTTCAGAGGCATGTGATTGACGTGGGCATGGCAATGTTCTCTTAAGAAATGACACTCTGAAAGAGCTGTGGAGGCCCAAGCAGGGTTATCGGAATGCAGCGCAAGGCAGTGCATTGATGGTGTTCTGTTGGATAAGTCGGGAAGACATTGAGCAATGTTATTAACCAAGACTATACTGACACCTGACTATTAGGTCTTGTTAGCAGCAATGTAAATATTAACACATGAGAATGTTGTCAGTTTTTGGCAGAACATTCATTCCGCTTTCCTTGGAACTGTCAGAGTAAACAAAAATTGTTTGCCTAACATCTAGATTGTGACTCTTTTACCTGTGGTAGTAAATTGCTTTCTCGAAAGATAAGCTGACACTTGTATAAAGGATGTCTCCACTTTGTTTTTTTTTCTTCAAACTTCATGTGTCAGTGTGTCCACATTAGATCCCCCTACATCTTTCTGATTCCTGCCCCTGCCCATTTTGACCTCCTTCGTATCTTGTTAATTAACTGATTAACTATTTGTGTGCCACCAAGTAAATTCCAATTTGAGTTGGCCCTAGTCCGAATTTTCTAGGTATAAAGCATTCAGAAGTTCCCATTTCCTTGTTCTTCTGGCACTCTACAACTATGCAACTTGTCCAGGGACCCAAAATCTGACTCTTAGCTTGGGATGGACAGTGGAGAAACAAACTTTCACGTCCTTGGCTCCCCAAGCAGTTACTCACTGAGCTATCCAGCCAGCTACCTCATAACTTAAAACAAGGCATCTTGCAGGATTCACTATCCAGTGTTTTGGATCACTGTCTGAGAAACTAATAATTGGGAGGGACACTCAACACAACATGTAATTCAATCCCCTACATGCTCCCAGGGACAAATTTTCCTGTTGCGCAGCTTCTGTCTATGTGCTGGATGTTATCTTATGTGCTAGGTCAACATCATCCATCTGGATGAGGCATTTTAGTTACCCACAGTCAGGTTTTGCTGAAAAATTCCTATGGAATTGGAATGTAGGGGTTTTTACAGCATTATCCTATGGAGTTGCATCCTGAATCTATAGCTTGTGCCATTAGAGCCCTTTTTTGTTTTAGCAAATTCAGCAAATTGGAAGTAAAAAAAATGCTTCAAGCTAGGTTGTGAACAAACTATAATGGCAAGAAACAGGAATGATTGGCTCTGTTTGAGATGCCTAAGGAGGCATTGAAATTTTCTGTGGCTTTGGGAAGTGTAAGATGTGTAAATGCATTTCAGACTTGATCTTTAGAATTGAAGATTTGAATGTGCCTTACTACTGAAAACCTTACTACTGTTAGCCTCCATTACAAGAGAAGTTTAAAGGAGAAAATACCTCACTCTTTACCAGTTTTTAGAGTTTTTTTAAGTACTGTACCTTTGTTGGTACTTCTCAGTGGGGTCCAAACAAATGGAATATCTAATAATTTATTATAAGTTAGAGAGGAAAGAAAAGTATTATAGATTTTGTTCTCAGTTTATCAGCTCGATTGAACATTAATTTAGATCAGATATATAGCTCAAAGTAAGTCATTGAAGAACTTCATTTTTCATGAATGCCAAGGGAATGCTTTGAAGGAAACCATGGACACGGACCATATAAAGTCAGATCCTTTTTTGCCTTTGTTAGTTTTGTTGGAAAGTTGGGCTTAACTTTGAATGGCTCGTATGGCAGATGAGGTTAGAATGTACCATCTCCTGTTCATGGAAAAAAAAATAGTGCAAATAGGATCAAATTAGCCTGGAAGCCATGGACTATGGATTGTGTTAATGTTTGGCTGTGCTTCCAAAAAAGCGAGGAGAGAAAAATCTACTCTGTGCATGCTCAGAAGCACTCTCCCCGTGTCTGTAGCTGAAAAAAAAGAGATAATTTGAATATAATCATTAATACTGGAAACAGCTATTCGGGCCAACCCCTGTTAGACTCTGGCACATATCAAATGTCATCTAGTCAGATAAATGGGTATTTTATGATCCTGCCTTAAATCTGTAGACAATATGCTAAATGTTAAGTTTTATTTACTTGTAACAAGATAAGCCCTCGTCTTGATTAAGTACAAGTAAGCCACATTCAAATCAATTGGGCAAATTAATTAGAACTTAATTTCAGTCCCTGTGAAATAAATGAATACATACCAGCTGTTTCTGATGGATGGATGGATGGATGGATGGATGGAAGGAAGGATGGATGGATGGAAGGAAGGAAGCATGGATAGATGGATGGAAGGAAGGAAGGAAGGAAGGAAGGAAGGATGGATGGATGGAGGGAGGGAGGGAGGGATCGATCGATCGATCGATCGATCGATCGATCGATCAATCGATCTATCTATCTATCTATCTATCTATCTATCTATCTATCTATCTATCTATCTATCTATGATTTCTTCATTTTAATTCAGCAGTCTCAGGCCTGTAGAGAAAAAGGTGCTTAAAATTTTAAAAATATATTCTGCAGAGAAATGAGGTGTGCGGCTTTGGCTAATTTTTTTTGGTATTGTTTCTATTTTTAAACTCTCCTAGAAGACTTCGTTTTCTCCTGCTTTGTTCTGAATCTGAAACCGCCCAAGTACCATTCAGGAATGAAAGCATGTTTTATGCATTAATGAGAAGATGCTCAGTGGCCCAGTAGGGTAATATTCATTGGATTTGATTTCCAAATATGGTTTTTAAATTTCCATGTTTTACGCTATGTCAGTGACCAAAAAGAAGGTTGTGTTCATTTGTTTCTTTATTAAAGGTGAGAGGGGCCCTCCCCAAAAAGTCATTTGGATAAAGTTGTCCAGGTGCGGAATTTGTGATTTGAACGTAAGAGCTGGTTACAGCTTGGAGACATATTGGTGTGTGTTTAAACTATTCAGCCCTCTTAGTACACTTATCATGTGCCATCTGACTTATGGAGACTCTTTTTCACAGTTTTCCAGGTAGAAAATACTGAGAAATCATTTATCATTCCCTTTTTTCTGGAAGTGTTCTGGGATCATCCAGGTTGCCCAAGGCTACCCAGGCTGGCTGGTCTCTTGGGAGGTACCATGGGGTATTGAACTCCCAACCAAGCCTCAACTACTGAGCTAACCAGCCAGCGTGTCTGGAATTGACGCAGTTCCAAAGCATCATCATATCATTTCATAACATTTCTGCTGCATGTTCTAGAGTTTAAGCCTAAACTACTGAGCTAATCAGCCAGAGTGTCTGGAATTGATGCAGTTCCAAAGCATCATCATATCATTTCATAACGTTTCTGCTGCATGTTCTAGAGTTTAACTCTTGTTAAATATAATGTGTGCAGGACCTCCTCCTGATGTCCATGAGGCTTTACAGTACGCCCCTAGGAATTTAGAGTATTTGCAGTATGGGAATTTAGGGTATGCCCCTAGGAATTCACAGTATGAAGGGAAAAGAGGAAAACAAGGTTGAAGAGGCATAAAGGGAACAAGGTATGCAAATTTGCCCTGTGTGAATTCACTTTTAGGTTCCTTCCTTCCTTCCTTCCTTCCTTCCCTCC